CAGGAATCAAACCGGAATCTCTTGGTTCATAGGTCGACGCTCAATCACTGAGCCATGCTGGCCAGTCCAAACTAAAAAGCTTTTGTACAGAAAAATAAAACATCAATAAAATGAAAAGGGGGCCCACTGAATGGGAAAATATATTTGCCAATGATACATCTGATAAGGGGTTAATTTCCAAAATGTATATAAATAACTTATTCAACTCAGCACCAGGAAGACAAACAACCCAATTTTTTAAAAGGGCAAATAACCTGAATAGGCACTTTTCCAAAGAGGACATACAGATGGCCAATAGACATATGAAAAATTGCTCAATATCATTAACCCTCAGAGAGATGCAAATGAAAAGCACAGTGAGATATAACCTCACACCTGCCAGAATGGCTATCATCAATACATCAACAAACAATAAGTGCTGGCAAGGATGTGGAGCAGGGGTCCTCAAACTTTTTAAACAGGGGGCCAGTTCACTGTCCCTCAGACTGTTGGAGGGCCGGACTATAGTTTAAAAAAAAACTATGAACAAATTCCTATGCACACTGCACATATCTTATTTTGAAGTAAAAAAACAAAATGGGAACAAATACAATATTTGTATTTGCATGTGGCCCGCGGGCCTTAGTTTGAGGACCCCTGTTGTGGAGAAATGGGAACCCTCATATACAGTTGGGGGGACTGCAGAATAGTGCTGCTACTGTGAAAAACAGTATGGAGTTTCCTCAAAAACTAAAAACGGAACTTCCTTATGATACAGAGATCCCATTTCTGGGAATATATCCAAATAAACCTGAAACACAATTTGAAAGAATGTATGCATTCCTATGTTCATTGCAGTGTTGTTTACAATAGCCAAGATCTGGAAACAGCCCAAGTGCCCATCAGGAGATTAGTGGATAAAAAAAGCTGAGGTACATTTACACAATGGGTACTACATGGCCCTAATAAAGAAGGAAATATTACTTATTTCACTTAGCATAATACCTGGAGAGTATTATGCTAAGTGAAATAATCCAGTCAGAGAAAGACAAGTACCATAGGATTTCACTTATATGTTGAATTAATGAACAAAGTAAAATAACAAACAAAATAGAAACAGATTCATAGTGTTACTATAGGACATGTAACTGTCTCTCTCCATACCCCACTGCTCTTTGATTAATCTCTTAGATGTAGAAATATTGGATGGTGGGTTCCTGTTATACTCTCATTGCTTTTTATTCAAACTTTCCTATAATTTATTCCCATCTTAAGTTATCAAATCTTATCTCCCATTATATCAGGACAATAATTTTTACTTCCTTATAGTGCATTCTTTACTGTTCCAAGGACAGTACACACTAATCTAATTTCTTACTCTTAGTGTGTTAGCTAGTGCTGATATCTTGTCTTCATTTTTTAGTTCTAAGTTCTACTTGTTCTCTAGAGTACTAGTCAAGTTAAATAATGCTGACCCATTATTATGTTCTCTGTCTTTTACCCTTTGCTTCATACATATTTGGACTTAATTATTTAGCATTTATAGTGACTTCTAATTGTTTATATCATAAACCCTGTTGCTTCAACTGCATTGGAAGTTTCTTGGTATATAAATAATTATTTTCAATGTTAGACATTGAATTGTACCTAAATACTTGTTTTTAATTATCCCTTTTGACTAATTAAGATAGATTTTTTTTGGTATGTTCCTATTGCCCTGGAATTTTAAAAATCTTCACATCCTATTAACTTCAAATGGCATAGCAATCCAAGAGCCAATATCTATCAGATTTTTTAGAATAAATTTTACACAAAGTATTATGAGGTTGAACTTGATTTTTAAAAAAGTCATCCAAAGGTGAAGAAATATTCCCTCAATCATAACATAATGGAATATCATGGCATGCCTGAAAAGTTTATTAGTTAACTTCAACTGCATTTGTGCTTATTGTAGTGTGTACTAATCACCACACTTTCTGATTCAATTAAGTGAGGGAAGTTGTTGAGAATAGGGAAATTACAAAGATTTTAATAAATATGCTTGATAACTCAGGCAGCTTTACCATTGCTAAATCAGCACATTTGCCTTACTGGAATTTCTGCCTCCCTTACTTATAATGTATCAGGACTTAAAACAGGGTCCCAGGTCTGTATTCTCAGTTCTTCTATCCTTTAGTTTAAAACTAGAAACTTTAGAGGATTGAAATGCAACTCAGATAAGGTATAAAAAAGGCAAACTCTTATATGGCCAGGATGAGGTTGATAAAGAGGACTTATTGTTTAAATCATTAAAGAATTCAAGTGAGATCTGACCAGTTTGGCTCAGTGGATAGAGCGTCGGCCTGCAGACTCAAGGGTCTCAGGTTCGATTCCGGTCAAGGGCATGTAACTTGGTTGCGGGCACATCCCCAGTGGGGAGTGTGCAGGAGGCAGCTGATCGATGTTTCTCTCTCATCGATGTTTCTAACTCTCTATCCCTCTCCCTTTCTCTCTGTAAAAAATCAATAAAATATATCAAAAATAAGAATTCAAGTGAATTTTTTAAATGTTCAGATTTGATTTAGTAATTCATCAATAAATAAAAGCAGATGTATTTTGTGTTTATATACTGGGTCCATGACACATGTATGCATACGAGTGTTAATAGGGATAAAACTCTGCTGATTCATTTTACATTACCTGTGACATATGAAGGATTTCTATCATTTTAAATAAGGAGCTGCTTAGATGTGTGTGATTTGGGGTTTTCCTCCATCAAGTTTATGTTGAAGTGGCAAAACTTTGGTGGTTCAATATCAATTCTGACCTTTGTAATATTGAGAGCTATCTAGCAAAAGAAGTAGCCCCTTGTCATTAAAACCATTAGAATAGTAATGTGTCAACCTTTGAGATACGAGACTACTGATGGTCTTCATAGACCTTCATACTCACTCCCTAATCTAAAATTCAATTATAAGTTATTTTTGGAATACCATTCTCAGAGACACTTTTCCCTGAGTAAGAAGGAACAACTTGAAGTTTGTTGGTAGAGTGGGGCCTTTATTGCCAAATCCCTTAAGATATATATTAGTTAGTTGAAAAGAGTGATAATTGAATCCCCAAAATGGTTAGGTGCTTTGATTTGGTATGGGAAGACTTCCTTAAACTACAATTGTAATTACAGATGAAGATAATATGAGTATGTCTGAAGGTGGGAGCAGTTGTATTCCACCAGTACCTCATAAGCAGTGAACATAAGATCAGAGTCCCTGAAGTTTGTGTGAGGCTGATCTAGCCACAGTTTCAGGGTAAATATAAACTATATTCTCCAAAGAGAATGTAAGGGAAATGGTGTAACATTGGTCCTCCCAACCTTAGAAGAAGGTTTATACCTGAGAAAGAATTGATATACAGTGAAACCACTACCCTACAATGAATATATAGTATTTCTATCCTACCCAGACTATTTTCTTAAGGCTAAGATTATTATGTTGGAGGAGGGAGGAAGTGCTGAGGAGGAGGATATAGAAGTGTGGTCAAAGTGTTGCATTGAAATGGCCAGCAATCCTCTAGCAGGAAACATGGTAGTGCAGAGTGGGCTTCACTCCCAGTATTTTCCTTGCTGTTTCTCTAAATGGGCCAATGAACTGGGCTCCAAACAACTAGGAGATTCTTTTTTAAATATATTTTATTGATTTTTTACAGAGAGGAAGGGAGAGGAATAGAGAGTTAGAAACATTGATGAGAGACAAACATTGATCAGCTGCCTCCTGTACAACCCCAGGATGTGCCCACAACCAAGGTACATGCTTTTGACCTGAATCGAACCTGGGACCCTTCAGTTCACGGGCCGATGCTCTATCCACTGAGCCAAAACAGTTAGGGCAACTAGGAGATTCTTATGGTCACTTCCATGTCCCAAGAAGTCCTAGCCATCATTCGACCCAGAATCAAATCACCCCCATAAACGTTAATATAGTGTGGATATAGTGTGGATAACTACTATGAGATGAGGCTAAACCACAGACAGTATTGGGTACCTGGATCCCTGAGAATTGGGGAACTAATGACACAGGCTTCCTCTGGTTATAACATTAAGCATTCAATAATGTAATATTACATATCATATGCTTGACTATTTGGTACCCTGCTTATTGTGCTGTTTGTGGAGGGCATACTACTAGAGCAGGCTTGCTTAGCCAACAATAATAGCTTGTAGTCTTCTCAGGACTCTTAAAATTTCCATAAATGAGGATGGTGAAGAAAGAAGTGATGGTGTGGGAAACATCTGTGGAATTAAACAACATGGTTCCAAACTAGAAGACTCAAAGTTTTTGCCTGACTAGCTAGAAGCACTGTGAGATACAATATACTAGTATCTTTCACAACATAAGGTGAGGAGTGGAAATGCTACTATGTAGGAAAAACTGAGAGGCTCCTTGGTGAACCAGAATTTGGGTGGACTTCAGAATTTTAGTGGAAATGAACCAAAGAAGTGGTCCAGACAGATTAGGTAAATTGTAAGGCAAGGCTATGGCATTAGGCACTTTAAAAAAATATCTAGCCTTGATTTTCATTAGGTATAATGGATATTGTGATGTACAGGGAGACCTGGAATTTCTTTGGGTCAGAGTAGATATATGATCCTTTCTGTTTATTTATTTATTTATTTATTTATTTTCTCCACTGAAGTTGGTTCGAGAAGAAACATTTTAGTAAAAAACAGAAGAGTTTTCAGTCTTGATTCACCACGTTTTTCCTGATTCCCCGTATAAACCTTCCTCCTAGAAGCAGGTTCACTAAGCATACAACCAGAAATAGGAAATCTAGTGTGATTCAATAGAACAATTGAGGACAATACTATTGGCTTATTTAAACAGGTGAACTGAAAATAAGATGTAAGTTCATATTTGTTTGAAAATAACCAAACCAGTGGAAGCTTTCCAAATGCTTTCCTAGTTCTTATATTTTGATTTTGCTCTATGGCTCTTCCTCAATGACTGCAGTTGGCAACTTGAAAATAAAAACTCAATGACAATCAACAAAGTCAAAATGCTTTTATTTATACTGAAGTTTAGCAAGTACATTTTTTAAACAAAGAAGTTGTACTTTAACTTAATATATCATAGAACAGAGAAACATACATATAAATTTCTAGTCTCTAACACAATACCACATTTTTTCTTTTAAAGACAAAAGGCCAAGCTGAAGTGAACATAGAAAAGCATCAAATATGGTCAGGTTACTTAAACCATGAGAATTTAGCTCATATTCTTAAACTGGTCAATCTAATGCGAGGACAAGTTCACATCATTACTTTTAAAATGCACACACATTCCTTTTTTATAAATCAATTTAGACTGAATAGCTGTTTTAGTAAACAAGGTGTTGCTGATAAACATAACTGAAATAACTCCATGCTGTGGAGTTTCAGAGATAAATTGTAATCACAAGCATCTTCATTTATGTAAAGCCAGCGAGGACCTTTCAGGCTGAATAAAACAGTTGTGACATTGCTAAACAGTAACAGTTACCTCCTTAAAAAAAAGAAAGGAAGAAAGAAAGAAAGAAAGAAAGAAAGAAAGAAAAGAAAGAAAG